CGACACGGGAAAGAATGAAACTGGACCACTTTCTCAGACCGTACACAAAAATGCATTAAAGACCTCAGTGTGAAACATAAAATCAAAAAATTTCCGAAGGAATCATAGCCAGTAAATTTCTTTGACATCAGCCATAGCAACATTTTTTTTTTAGTTGTATTTCTTCAGGCAAGGGAAATAAATACAAAAATAAACTACTGGGTTCCCTGTCCAGCAGGGAGTCTGCTCCTCTCTCTCTCTCCCCCTCTGCCCCTAACCCTGCTCGTGCTCTCTCGCTCACTTGTTCTCTCTCTCAAAATAAAATAAATAAAATCTTCTAAAAAATTAACTAATTAATTAAATACTGGCAACAAGGCAGGATGTTTAGGCTTGCAAGTTCTACTTAACATAATATTAAAAGTCCTACTTAATGTAATAGGGCAAAAAAAAAAATAAAAAGCTGAACAAAACAAACAAAAGCTGAACAGACTGGAAAAGAAGAAATGAACTGTCTCTATTCATGGACAACATAACTATCTATAAAGAAAATCACAAGGAACCCACAAAAAAAAAAAAAACAGCTATAACTAATTAATGAGTTTATCAAGGTTACAGAATACAAGGTCAATATACAAAAATCATTGTGTTTCTACATACTAGCAATAAACAACTAAAAACCAGAATCTTAAAAATACTACCATTTACAACAACTCCAAAAACAAGAACTACTTAGGCACAAGTCTAACAAAGTATGTGCAGTATCTGTACGCTGAAAAATGAACAAAACTGATATAAAAAATTGAAGAGAACCTAAATACACGGAGAGTTATACTCAATATGGCTAAGAAGCCATTTTTCCCCAAAGTGATCTATACATTAAACATAATTTCCATCAAACTCCCAGCTGGATTTTTTTGTAGATCTAGAAAACTTGCTTTTCAAATTTATATGAAAAGTCAAAGAAACTAGAATATGCAAAACAATTATGAAAAAACCCAAAGTTAGCAGACTTACAGCTCCTGATGTGAAGGCTTACTACAAAGCTAGAGTAATTAAAGCAGTATGATATTGGCATAGACAAAGAGATCAATGGAACCAAACACAAAAGTCCAGAGAAAGACTAACACAAATACATCAAATGATTTTTGACAAAGAGGCCAAGGCAATTCAGAGACAAAAGGATGTTATCAATAAATTATACTGCATGTGTATAAATGAACATCTAAAATGAGCAACTATATGCAGAAAAAAGGAAATTTAATCTGCACCTTACACCAAATTAACTCAAAATGGATCTTATAATGTAAAACATAAACCTATAAAAAAGAAGAAAACAAAGAGAAAATCTTTTTGACACTGCATTAGGCTACAAATTCTTAGATACAAAACCAAAAGCAGGAGTGATAAAAGAAATTAATTGAGAAGTCAAACTTCATCAAAATTAAAAGACTTTATTCTGCAAAAGCCACTGCTAAGAAAATGAAAACCTATGGACAAGGAGAAAGTATCTCCAAACCCCGTTGGAGAAAGGAAACACGCCCCGAATATATAAAGAACTCAAAAACTCAACAGAAAGAAAACAAACACCCTCCCCACATTTTAACAACCTAGAACAAAAGCATTCCCATACATTCTGTGTGCTGGGATTTACACCTGAGACTGTCCTTTAAATTACTATCATGGAACTTCCTTATCTGTCATAGTGTGAAAATAACAAGCAAAAGATCTGAACAGACATTTTACCCATGAAGATATATGGAAACAAGCAAGCACATAAGAAGAACCCGAATTGCCAAGGAAATGATGAAAAAGAAAAACAAAGCTGGGGGGATCACATTGCCTGATTTCAAGCTCTATTACAAAGCTGTGATCACCAAGACAGCATGGTACTGGCACAAAAACAGACACACAGATCAACTGAACAGAATAGAGAGCCCAGAAATGGACCCTCAAATCTAGGGTCAACTCATCTTCAACAAAGCAGGAAAAAATAATCAATAGAAAAAAGACAATCTCTTCAAAACATGGTGCTGGGAAAATTGGACAGCCACATGCAGAAGAATGAAACTCGACCATTCTCCTACACCATACACAAAAATAAACTCAAAACGGACGAAAGACCTCAGTGTGAGACAAGAATCCATCAAAATCCTAGAGGAGAACACAGGCAGTAACCTCTTCAACATTAGCCACAGCAAGTTCTTTCAAGACACATCTCCAAAGGCAAGAGAAACAAAAGCGAAAATGAACTTTTGGGACTTCATCAAGATAAAAAGCCTCTGCACAGCAAAGGAAACAGCCAACAAAACAAAGAGGCAATCCACAGAATGGGAGAAGATAATTGCAAACGACACTATATACAAGGGACTGATATCCAAGACCTATAAAGAACTCCTCAAATTCAACATCCAAAAAACAAATAATCAAGTCAAACAATGGGCAGAAGACATGAACACTTCTCCAAAGAAGACATACAAATGGTTAACAGACACATGAAAAAATGTTCATCATCATTAGCCATCATGGAAATTCAAATCAAAACCACATGGAGATACCACCTTACACCAGTTAGAAAGGCAAAAACTGACAAGGCAAGAAAACAAATGTTGAAGAAGTTAGGGACAAAGGGGAACCTTCTTATACTGTCGGTAGGGATGCAAGTTGGTGCAGCCACTTTGGAAAACGGTGTAGAGGTTCCACAAAAAATTAAAAATAGAGCTTCCCTCTGACCCAGCAATTGTACTACTGGGTACTTACCCCAAAGATACAGATGTAGTGAAAAGAAGGGCCATATGCAACCCAATGTTCATAGCAGCAATGTTCATGACAGCCCAAGTGTGGAAGGAGCCTAGATGCCCTTCAACAGACAAATGGATAAAGAAGATGGGGTCCATATATACAACCATCAGAAAGGATGAATACCCAGCTTTTGCATCAACATGGATGAAACTGGAGGAGATTATGCTGAGTGAAGTAAGTCAAGCAGAGAAAGTCAATTACATGGTTTCACTTATCTGTGGAACATAAGGAATAGCATGGAGGACATTAGGAGAAGCAAGGGAAAAATGAAACGGGGGAATTGGAGGGGGAGATGAACCATAAGAGACTATGGACTCCAGGAAACAAACTAAGCGTTTTAGAAGGGAGGGGGTAGGGGGATGGCTTGGCCTGGTGATGGGCATTAAGGAGGGCATGGATGGCATGGAACACTGGGTATTATACACTAGCCATAAATCATGGAGCACTACCTCTAAAATTAATGATGTACTACATGGTGACTAACATAACATAATTAAGAAAAAAGATCATCCACATAATTTGTTACTAGGAAAATACAAATTAAAAACACAAAATACCACTACAAACCTTAGTAGAATAGCTTCGATAAAAGCAACTGCCAATACCAAGTAGTGATGGGTACAGGAACCCTCACAGAACACGGGGGAGAATATGCAGTAATACCAATCCTTCACAGATCCTTACAGGAAATCAGAGAGGAGGGAGAACGCTTTCCAGCTGGTTTTGCAACGCCATTTTTCCCTGATGCTGCTGAAGACATCACAAGGAAACCACAGACTGATCTCTTTTAAGAACACAGAAAAATTTTTAACAAAACATTAGCAAGCCAAATAGCAACATATAAAAAGGACGATACTCCATAGGCAAGTGAGACTGACCCCAGGAAGACAGAGTGGGATGTAAACCTGAAAATCAGTTATGTAATAGAACCTACTAGGAGAAAAAGGTCAAAATCTCTATGAGCCTCTTAACCTTCACTGAGTAAAGGTTACTGAAGAGCTCTGAAATGCTGCTGTTATTTTGTGTTTGCCCCAAAGCATTGACTTCGTTCACTAACTGGTGCTCAACAAATACTGAATATATTCTGCGAGGCACTAACACAGACACACAGAAACAAACTAATTCTGTGATTCAGTTAAAATGCTGGAAGTCTTACACTCGGGTACGCAATTAAAAAGAAAAAACAAGGGGCGCCTGGGTGGCTCAGTGGGTTAAAGCCTCTGCCTTTGGCTCAGGTCATGGTCTCAGGGTCCTGGGATGGAGCCCCACATCGGGCTCTCTTCTCGGCGGGGAGCCTGCTTCCCCCCACCCTCTCTGCCTGACTCTCTGACTACTTGTGATCTCTGTCAAATAAATTAAATCTTAAAAAAAAAAAAAAAAAGAAAGGAAAAGAAAAGAAAAAAGAAAAAATAACTCTGCCCCAGTACTCAGGGGGGAAAAAAAGGAGGACTGTCTCATTCTTTTTTTTTTTTAGATTTTTTATTTATTTATTTGAGAGAGAGGCAGTGAGAGAGAGCATGAGCGAGAAGGTCAGAGGGAGAAGCAGACTCCCCGTGCAGCTAGGAGCCTGATGCGGGACTCGATCCCGGGACTCCGGGATCATGACCTGAGCCGAAAGCAGTCGTCCAACCAACTGAGCCAGCCAGGCGTCCCATCATTCTTTTTTTTTTTTTTTTTTTTTTTAAGATTTTACTTATTTATTTGACAGAGGGAGACACAGAGAGAGAGGGAACACACGCAGGAGGAGTGGGAGAGGGAGACTGAGCGACCCAGGCATCCCCGACTGCCTCATTCCTATTCTGAAGTCACAGAGGCAAATTTTAAACTGGCAAGTAAAACTAAGTCACACTCTGGCAGCCAATGTGTCTGGGAATCATTTTATAGGAATACATACTGTATATACTCTTTCTTTTTCCTGATTATCTCTCTACAAAACATTACTACCTTTAAAACCCTTAAGGTACAATGATGTTTACATTCTATTTTTTTTTTTAAGATTTTAATTATTTATTTGACAGAGAGAGAGAGATCACAAGTAGGTGGGGAGACAGGCAAACAGAGAGGGGGAAGCGGGCTCCCTGCTGAGCAGAGAGCCGAATGCAGGGTTTGATCCCAGGACCCTGAGATCATGACCTGAGCCGAAGGCAGAGGCTTAACCCACTGAGCCACCCAGGCGCCCCAATGTTTGTCATTCTTATTGGTGTAGTAGGAGAGTCCTCTACCTTGTGGGGAGCAAGAATCCTCTGCCTGAATTTTTCAATGGTCTCTTGACCCACAGAAGACCAAGCACTGCCGAATGCCTCTGCTTTGTCCTGTGTGAGATGAATGGCCTCTAACTGCTGCTGCAAAGCCGCTGGCTTCACGTTGTGATACACCGCCTATGCAAGAGAAAAAAAAAAAAATCAAATATATCCCCAATATTCATACAGAGACCTCAGATTATAACCAAATACAAAATTATTTCTAAATGATTTAAATTAAAAGAATATTTTCTATTTTATTGTAGATCTTTTTCTTGTTTTACCAATAATAATATACACAACTAGAAGACGCAGGGTTGAAAGCCCTAAACTATTCAGGCTACACGTCTCCACTTTTGCCTCTGTTTTAAGTAATCCTAATACCACTTAACGCAAAAACTTCTCTGCTTTTAGCTGTGCAAATGGTACCCTAATTAAATTATCATTTCCTTATTTCACTTAACAATTTCAAAGAACTGTTTTAGGCTCAGTCGGTTAGGTATCTCCCTTGAGCTCAGGTCATGATCTCAGGGTCGTGGGATCGAGCCCCAAGCTGGGCTCCACATTCAGCAGGGAGTCTGCTTGCAATTCTCTCTCTCCCTCTGCTCGCCCTCCACCCCATTCATGCTCTCTCTCTCTCCCTCTCTCAAATTAATAAATCTTTAAAACAAACAAAAAACAAAGAAATGTACAACTAACAAAAATTTTTCCAAGAAGCACTTTCTCAAAACTACCTTCATCTATCAACTTCCTAGGTACTACATAATAAAATATTATAAACATTTCTAATAACAACTGTTCTATTTCTTAATATAATTCTGGAACAAATTTCTCTTAAACCCCATGTTTCTCTGCCCCACTTAATTATCCTTTACTACTAGTAAAAGCTCCCCAGTGTTAAGAACAGTAATAACCTTAGTATCTGTAATCTGTACAAGGCTGTATGAAGTAGATGCCTGGGAGCTTGTCTTCCTAAATAGTGTTTGTTCACTAGAAGGCTCATGAAACTACAGTACTATTTAAACTTTTTTTTTTTTTTTGAAGATTTTATTTATTTATTTGACAGAGAGAGAGATCACAAGTAGGTAGAGAGGGAGGCAGAGAGAGGGGGGGTAGCAGGCCTCCTGTTGAACAAAGAGCCCGATGTGGGGCTCGATCCCACGACCCTGAGATCATGACTTGAGCCGAAGACAGAGGCTTAACCCACTGAGCCACCCAGGTGCCCCTATACTTTAATTTCACAAATATTCCACCAAGTCAACCTTCAGGAATTTACGGAGACTCTAATTTAAGCCCGGCAATGTGCTTGGTTTATAGAAGACGAGCTAAAGATATGATAGGTCCCTCACAAATTCAAAAGCTAGAGAAGGCTGACACACAGGAAATGATGAAAGACTAATGATGTGCTCCACTCTGATGAGCCAAGGATAAAAGGAATCCGAAGTAGGGGACGATTGCCAAGTGTAAGGGTCATGGCAGCAGTGAGAAGAGATGGGACTTGAACAACAGCTTAGTGCGCTGAACACAGACAAAAGCAAGGGAAGCAAAATGGCAGCTCAGTAGGAAGAACTTGACAAAAGCCCTTTGACCTTTGACAACTACTTCTCTTCTAAATGTTTTATTTATCATCCTAGTTAAAGAAATCCCCCAAAATCATTGTTCTTAAATAAGAGATGTTTGTTTCTCCAAGTTATAACACCAAGTAACAATGAATAAAAATATTTTATACCTGTCTCAAGTCAATGAAGTCTTGAGTCATGCTGTCAAATACTTTACTTATGCTACCCAACATTCAGATTTTTGGAAGAATGCAATACTGTAGAAAAAACCCATACATTCAATTTTTTTTTAAAGATTTTATTTATTTATTTGACAGACAGAGATCACAAGCAGGGAGAGAGGCAGGCAGAGAGAGAGAGGAGGAAGCAGGCTCCCTGCTGAGCAAAAAGCCTGATTCGGGGCTCGATCCCAGGACCCTGGGATCATGACCTAAGCTGAAGACAGAGGCTTTAACCCACTGAGCCACACAGGTGCCCCCTCAATTTTTTCTTTTAATACATTGAAATTCTCAAGTAGAATACATCCACAGCTCCCATCTGTACACATTTTGAAGAAATAAAATGTTACAGCTACCAAAGCAGTACAAATCTGCAGCAAACAAACCATGGTTATGAAGTTTGGGGCACTTGGAATACCTGTTCTAAAATGAACGAGATTGTTTCAAGAACCAAGTGAAGATCTTGTTTCTCCAGAGAAAACGCAGCCTGAAGTTTTTCTTCTTCTTCTTCACTGAAACTTTTCTCAGCCTAGAACATAAAAAGCAAGCTATTAGCCCACATCAGGTATTCAAAACGTAAACACTTGACAGAAGAGTCCCTGAAGATTCACGTATTCATACATGGATGAGAAACTGAAAGAAAAAGTGAAAGAAACTAATGTGTTCATACATTTCAATATCTCAAAATCACAGTACAATCTGAGAGTTGGATCACGCCAAATCAAGCTCATTTTAAATTTAAAAAAAGAGGGCGCCTGGGTGGCTCAGTGGGTTAAGCCGCTGCCTTCGGCTCGGGTCATGATCTCAGGGTCCTGGGATCGAGTCCCGCGTCGGGCTCTCTGCTCAGCAGGGAGCCTGCTTCCCTTCCTCTCTCTCTGACTGCCTCTCTGCCTACTTGTGATCTCTGTCTGTCAAATAAAGAAATAAAATCTTTAAAAATAAATAAATAAATAAATAAATTTAAAAAAAGACATTAAGTTCTATGATTTACAGGAGATGGAAACTAATGGTAAATACCAAAAGAAATGGACATTTAGAAAAAATACTAGAAGGTAAAACCCCAAAATGTTAATAACAATTAATAGTAATCTCCATCTTCCTCATGCAAATATATTTACTGAGTATTTATTACGTGCTATTAAAGAAAGTTCATGTCCTCAAGTATACAATACTCTAGTTAGGATGGCACATAAAAACAAATATTCAAGTAATTTTCATTTTGAGGAGTTCTGCAAAAATGTGGGTTATGACAAGAGCATCTATAAAGCAGGAAGTTAAGTCTTTTTTAGAATTTTAATACATATTTTCCAAAATCTCTATGTTATGCATTAATTTTATAACCAATATATAAAAGATAAGTTAGCCACCTGAGTAGAACCTCTGCCTAGTGTCCTTTCTTTCATATCCAAAATAATCTCCTCGATCTAAACACACTGGTCTAGTAAGTATGAAAAATGTACACTACTAAAACAACTTTAAAATAAAAAGAACTACTTCATCCACACATACTAAAAACACCTTTCCCTGCAGCTGCCTCTCCCTAACAGCAACATGGAGAAATTTCAGAAGTTCCTCGAGTCCTTGACTGGACAGCTTGGATGAGGTACACTTACACGGCTATTGAACCGAAGCAGCACTGCAACTTGAAGTGAGCGTATTTTCAAAGGCCAGTCGCCAGAACTCCCAGCCCCTACTACCTGTTTTACAACTGAGAAAATCGTGAACCGAATTTGGCCAAAAGGCCCATCACTTATCTCAAAAGCAATATTCTGACTTAAAAGTTTCAGCATTTCTGTGACTACCATACATCTTCGTGAAATAATGACCTATAGTACCACACTTTATCAATATGCAGAATATAACAATGATATTACATATATATAACCACTGAACCACATGTTGCATTAAATTCAATGGATATTTATAGTTTAACGTCCAAGTTAGTCCACTGGATTCCTTTTACCATACATCAAGTAAGCTGCTTTGACAAAATAGTATTAGTGATTGAGCAGGTAGAAAAATAAACTTCAGTGTCCCCAATATGTATAAGGAAGGGAGGTTTTTAAAAACGATACACCACTGGGGCGCCTGGGTGGCTCAGTGGGTTAAAGCCTCTGCCTTCGGCTCAGGTTATGATCCCAGGGTCCTGGGATCGAGCCCCACATCGGGCTCTCTGCTCGGCGGGGAGCCTGCTTCCTCCTCTCTCTCTGCCTGCCTCTCTGCTGCTTGTGATCTCTGTCAAATAAATGAATAAAATCTTTAAAAAAAAAAAAAAAAAGATACACCAGGGCGCCTGGTGGCTCAGTGGGTTAAAGGCTCTGCCTTCGGCTCAGGTCATAATCTCAGGGTCCTGGGATCGAGTCCTGCATTGGGCTCTCTGCTTGGCAGGGAGCCTGCTTCTCCCTCTCTCTCTGCCTGCTTCTCTGACTACTTGTGATCTCTGTCAAATAAATAAATTAAATCTTAAAAAAAATAAATAAATAAAAATAAATTAAAGATACACACAAATAAAGAGAGAGAGAGAGAGAGGGAGAAGCAGGCTCCCTGCCAAGCAGAGAGCCCAATGCAGGACTTATATCAGGCGGGAGCCTGAGTCCCCTCTCTCCCTGCCTGCCTCTCTGCCTGCTTGTGATTTCTGTCTGTCAAATAAATAAATAAAATCTTAAAAAAAAAAAAAAGTACTACCTTGCATTCTTTTTTTTTTTTAAGAAAAAAAAAGTGTAGTTCCTGTGTTTTTGTGTACCTTCTTCACTTACCACTTTTATCAGAGATCGTTTTATCTCTGATAAAAGTGGTAAGTGAAGAAGGTACAAAAAACACAGGAACTGCACATTTCTAAGTGTATGCACTTGTGTATGCATATGTGTATTTACTAACACATGGAAAAAGATCTGCAATAGAAACCAAATTGGTGAAGGCTACCCCTGGGAAGGAGTGGTGGTTTTATGATACCTGAAAATTCTTTAGCACTCCTCCCTTCAAAAGATAGAGCCTAATTTCTTTCCCTTGAATGTGATCCAGGCTTAGTGAATTACTCCTAACAAAAAGAATATAGGGGCGCCTGGGTGGCTCAGTTGTTGAGCGTCAGCCTTCGGCTCAGGTCATGATCCTGGGTCCTGGGATCGACCCCAGCATCGGGCTCCCTGCTCAGTGGGGAACCTGCTTCTCCCTCTCCCACTTCCCCTGCTTGTGTTCCCTCTCTCACTGCGTCTCTCTCTGTCAAATAAATAAATTAAATCTTAAAAAAAAAAAAAAAAGAATACAGTAAAAGTGAAGCTATGTGGTACCCCAGGCGAGGTCATAAAAAGGACACACCTTCTTTTGGTCACTGGTTCTAGAAGAAGCCAACTTCCATGTCGAGAGGAAAGGCTTGTGTAGCAATAACTGAGGCCTCCCACCAGGTAGCCATAATGGAAAGAAATCCTCCAACGCCAGCCAAACCTTCAGTTACAGCAGCCCAAACAACATCCGACACACCCTCACCAGAACCCCGAGCCAGAATCACCCAGCCAAACCACCCTAAATTCCTGACCTACAGGGACTGTGAGTATAATAAATGTTGATTGTTATTTTAAGGTGCTAAGTTTTGGGGTAACTTGTAATTCAGCAATAGATAACTAATACAGGGGAGAATTAAGATGGATAGGAGGGCCAAAGTTAACCAAGGGGGCATTTCAGTTTGCCATACTACTTAAATTTCTTAAACAAAAACTTATTCAGAAACTACGTAATTTAAAACTTATTAAGATGCTTAAATTAAGCACTATGAGAATTTTGAACTAGAAGGGCACAAAAGAAGCAACTAAAAAAAAATCCCTTTTTCCAACTTTTTGGGGTTTTTTTTTTTTTTGAAGAATTCATTTTCTTAAAATGTGTGATGAGTAAACTAACCTCAGTTGAAATCAGATCACATTCTTTAGAAAAGGAGAGCTGTCTTCTACTCTATGAACATAGGATATTATCTAAATAATTATGAAAGTAGTTAGCTTTTAAAAACTCAGAGCATGGATTCAGAGACAGAGCAGCCTGCTGTCCAGAGCCCAAGCTCTGACTCACATTCAAAGTCATACATACACACAAAGACCTCCGAGAAAGAACACACGGTACTAATATTCTGGAAATACCATAATTGAAAGAGCATATATATTGTTCTTACCCAATACACCAATTTGTAAGAAGCCTTTCATCTTACAGTAACTACAAAATAAATATATTTGCAGAGATCAAGTACCCTTTACTTTTTGGTCCACATTGGCGGGGCAAATGCTCCTTCGCACAAGACTCTCCTACACACAAGACATGTAAAGGCACAGGCATTGAACGCCCGCAGCACCCTCCATATGTTGTAACAGCCCAGAAAAATTCTGAGGCATTTTCTATAGGCTGGGGTTCACATGTGTGATTGTCTTTTATTTAACATAATAAGAGATTTCATTGTGTCATAATGGGGAGAAAAGAGGTAAAGAAAAGTAAAAGAACTTTTATTTTAAACTTCTGAAAGCTATCTTTCTGAAATGTACAGTACCCATTCTAGACTTTTATAAACTAAGTATATCAGATTAAACTCATTTCTTATGATGACTCAGGTCACAATTATGAGCATCAGAATTCTGAGGTACAGTATCATAAAAAACTTTTAAGAGACATTGGAAATTTTTCACTTCAGGAAAAAAATCCTCAGATTTCTGGGCATTTCAGTGTCTTGAGTCTAATTTGCATAATTCTCCCACTTCCTTCTATGATCAGCCATCAATTCTTGAAACCGCCCCCATGCCCATCACTGGCGCTTCTTCATCCCCCGGTTGGCTGGGTCTAGTCTGCCATGGCCAGGAATTCAGCGAGCCGATCTCTCAGAATGAGACACACAGCACAGTTAGATCAACAGGCTTTGTGTATGACCTACGAGTCTCTCTAGCGGAGCAAAGTACAGGAGTCTTTCTAATTGCAGGAGTTATGAAAGCCATTTTTTTTTTTTTTAAACTCAGAGGCCATAAATTGTTATCTCTGAGTCCTCAGCTATGGAAGTTACTCTGACTTCTGTCAGTGTTCTCCAGTGCAGACTCTATTAGCATGCTGGACAGGGCAATTTGGGCAAGACCGTTCTGCACACTGCAAGACATTTAGTTCCTGGGCATTAAGTGCCAATAGCACCCTCCACACGTTGTAAAAACAAACAAACAAACAAACAGAAAAACTAAAACACTCCAAAACTTCCCAAGTGTTTCTATATGCTAGGACAAGCCAAGAAGATGATCAGTTCAGAGACGACTTCCCGACCCAAGTTTGGACACACCCATATTCTATATCTCAGCTTACTTTTCCTATGTTTATTCTAATTAGGGAATTCAAGGAACCAGTCTGGACAAAAACAGGTATCCTCTGCCCGCAAGCAAATCAAAGTGTCAAGCTGATAACATTTAGAACAGCAACCCAATCTCTAAAACTCTTCAGGATCTACCCATGCCAGGTTTCACTGTTTGAAGGGCTCACCTTGTCTCAAGGCAAACGTCCACTTAACAGACCAAGAGTACATAAAAGAAAGCTGGCATATCCTGACCGTCAATGCAAACTTTATTCGATAAGAACTCTTATCACAAGAGGAGCCCCTCTAAGAAGAACATGCCCTGAAACTGCCCAGGAAAAAAAAATTTGCACCTTTCCTGACTTTCTTTCTTAGCAGGCGAATTATCAGCTACGTATGTTTTTGTTCTCAGTTGCTTCAGCTGCCAACAACCTCACCTTCTTGCGTCCACTCCCCCACCACCGACAGCATAGCATTCAAACACCTCTGTGGAATTCTCTGGCCACCCACTTACTCTAAGATGGACACTAACTTACTTAGAACTCGACACGACTGAGAGGGTCAAAGACAAACTACTCACAGTTTTCCTGCCAATGTCCCAGCCTCCCTTGCTATAGAGAACAAAGATGTATCTAAGAGTTTTTTGTCCCATGTTTTCAGTAAGTGTAAGAAGGCAGCCACCAGCTCAGGAAATCAAAGCAGACCTTCTATATTGATTGCCTACATCATTTACTTTTAGACTAATTTATATACTGTACTGCGCGCTTTTCCCGAGGTGTACTGTAAGGGGTTAAAGGAATGGATTCTGGAACCAGGCTGCTTACTCACAAACTGTGTGACCTTGGGAAAATTATTTACCTAGTCTCTATCTCAGTTTCTCTGTGAATAAAATAAGGAGAACAATAGTACCTACTTCCTAAAGTTGCTATAAGGATCAGATGAACTAATAACACAGAGCCATTAGAGCAATAGCAGAGAGAGTGATGTAACTGTGAATCACAAAACCACAGAATGCGGCTGCTCTTAGATTGTTGTGGTGATTCCTCCTGTCTCTCCATCTCTATCAGAGACTTCTTATAGCCAGGAATTTAGAGGGCCTGCACGGGTTTTGTGTTTCCTGTGCAAGGCAAAGAATGAACTCCAAGAACGGCTCTTGGGCACCAACTGCATCGGCACCAAGGTATTAGGTACGGAAAATGTAAAGATGATTAAGAGATGATACTCAAGGTATTCAAGGTCAGCAAAAGACCCTGCACCCTAAAACAACTACTATGCAGTACTGAAATGAGGTGCCCATGAAGCGAGTGTTTTAGAAGCACAGAACAAACTGCTGAGAGCAAGACGGCCAAATCCTTGACCTAGTTTTTTCACAACAGAAGGGAAGAAAGACATTTCAGATAAGGGAAAGAGTATATGCACAGACATAGAGTTGGAAAAGTTCGCAGTATGTTCTCGTAAAAGAGTACAGCCCAGTGTGACTGGAGCACTTGCAAACTGGGAATAATACGTATTGTGGCCATTATTATACTGTCATTATAAGGTGATTTTAATACGATACAATGTGAAAGATTTTGAACTTTTTCCCATGGGGCAATGGGAAGTCACGATGTCTTTAAACACTGTACAGATATGATCAATTGGTTGTTTTTTTTTTTTTTCATTTTTTGTTTCTTAGGGGAAAAAAATATTTGGAGAGATGAATGGACTAGCATTATGAAGCAGCGATAGGAGGGAGAAGACTTCCGGCAGAGATACCAGTTTGAAGGCAGTTACTGCGGTCTACGGCAGGGGTGTTAAGGATCTGAACTAGGACTATGAAGAAAACCTGGATTTGAGAGACACGTCAGAGGAAGAAAGGGCTCAGAAGGGGGCTGGCTCCCAGGAAAAAGAAGAGGAAAGGGTCCAGGTTCTCCGGGTATGGTAAAGAAGTGCTAAGTCACTATGTTGTACACCTGAAACTAGTATTACACTGTACTAACTGGAATTTAAATAAAAACCAAAAAAAAGTCCAGGTTCTCATTTAATGGTGGTACCTGACACCACCAGGCAGAGCAGTTACTAGTTACTAGGTGCACCATAAACATTTTTTTTTATTTTTTATAAACATATATTTTTATCCCCAGGGGTACAGGTCTGTGAATCGCCAGGTTTACACACTTCACAGCACTCACCACAGCACATACCCTCCCCAATGTCCATAACCCCACCTCCCTCTCCCAATCCCCCTCCCCCCATCAACCCTCAGTTTGTTTTGTGAGATTA